TCGAGCTAACCCCAAACCCAATCTTCTCCCAGCTCCGTCCAAAAGACCAATAATGTGGCCTATTAGCGTCTTCCCGGAGCGGCAACACTCAACTAATCCAATCCAATCCAATCCACTTTATTTATATAGCACATTTTATACAACAAGTTTCCAAAGTGCTGCACAGAAATAAAATCAACACATTTAAATATGCGCAAAGTAAAAAACAACACAAATTTAATAAAAACAATAAAATACCAGTAAACCATAAACATGTGATAAAAACAATAAAATACTAGTTATCCGATTTTAAAAAGAATAAATAAATAAATAAATAAAAACAATAAAACAAATAAAAGAAAATAAAAATAGGCCCACACAACTCATGCGGTGTTAAAGGCCAGAGAGTAAAAATGCGTCTTAAGACTTAAAACATTGGATGGATAGATGGATGGATGGATGGATGGATGGATGGATGGATGGATGGATGGATGGATGGATGGATGGATGGATGGATGGATAGATGGATGGATAGATTGATAGATAGATAGATAGATAGTAGGATGGATGGATGGTTGGATGGATGGATGGATGGATGGATGGATGGATGGATGGATAGATGGATGGATAGATTGATAGATAGATAGATAGATAGTAGGATGGATGGATGGTTGGATGGATGGATGGATGGATGGATGGATGGATGGATGGATGGATGGATGGATGGATGGATGGATGGATGGATAGATAGATAGATAGATAGATAGATAGATAGATAGATGGATGGATGGATGGATGGATGGATGGATGGATAGATAGATAGATAGATAGATAGATAGATAGATAGTAGGATGGATGGATGGATGGATGGATAGATAGATAGATAGATAGTAGGATGGATGGATGGATGGATGGATAGATAGATAGATAGATAGATAGATAGATGGATGGATGGATGGATGGATGGATGGATGGATGGATGGATGGATGGATAGATGGATGGATAGATTGATAGATAGATAGATAGATAGTAGGATGGATGGATGGTTGGATGGATGGATGGATGGATGGATGGATGGATGGATGGATGGATGGATAGATAGATAGATAGATAGATAGATAGATAGATAGATAGATGGATGGATGGATGGATGGATGGATGGATAGATAGATAGATAGATAGATAGATAGATAGATAGATAGATAGATAGATAGTAGGATGGATGGATGGATGGATGGATAGATAGATAGATAGATAGTAGGATGGATGGATGGATGGATGGATAGATAGATAGATAGATAGATAGATAGATAGATAGTAGGATGGATGGATGGATGGATGGATAGATAGATAGATAGATAGATAGATAGTAGGATGGATGGATGGATGGATAGATAGATAGATAGATAGATAGATAGATAGATAGATAGATAGATAGATAGATAGATAGATAGATAGATAGATAGATAGATAGATAGATAGATGGATGGATGGATGGATGGATGGATGGATGGATGGATGGATGGATAGATAGATAGATAGATAGATAGATAGATAGATAGATAGATAGATGGATGGATGGATGGATGGATGGATGGATGGATGGATGATAGATAGATAGATAGATAGATAGATAGATAGATGGATGGATGGATGGATGGATGGATGGATAGATAGATAGATAGATAGATAGATAGATGGATGGATGGATGGATGGATGGATGGATGGATGGATGGATGGATAGATGGATGGATGGATGGATGGATGGATGGATGGATGGATGGATGGATAGATGGATGGATGCAGCGTTTCAGATTCCTGCAGCTCCTGTAGGATCTGGAACAATCTTCCTGACAATAAAACAAATAAAAGAAAAAAAAAAAAGGCCCACACAACTCACGCGGTGTTAAAGGCCAGAGAGTAAAAATGCGTCTTAAGACTTAAAACATTCCAACGAGGGAGCACTTTTAACGTGGGGGGGGCAGAGCGTTCCAGAGCTTTGGTCCAGCCACAGTGAAGGCCCTGTCCCCCCCGAGTTTTAAGCTTCATCTTAGGCACCAAGAGCTGGAGCTGGCCCTCGGACTAGCTAATCTACCTTAGTGTAAAACCTGCTAGGCTACGCGGGAGCATTGGAAGCACAGTAGCCGGGGGGGGGGGGGACCGAAAGTACCGGACAGTGTGGCTCAAAGGGGAGACGGCTAACCTCTCGCGCTGCTAACACTTTCGTCCTTGCAGCAGTTTAAAACCATTGTCTCGCTTCATTAGTTTGGTTGCCGGGCTTCTACACCAACCATGATCAATTACCACCTATCTCCGGAGTAGCTCGTTAGCATAGCGCTCGCGTTTAGCTTAAGTGACAGGCCGTGAGCGTGTGTAGGAGGTGCCATCATTTGCGCGTGGTGATTAGAGCTTTCTTAACAGATGTCTAAAGTGAGACAAGCATTTAGTAGTGAGTATGTGTTTGTGTGTGTGTGTTTGTGTGTGTGTGTTAGCGTGACGGATGTTAGCAGCGACGCTAGCACTTTAGTCTGAATGGGAGGAGAAAAAAAAAGAAAGCTGTCCAAGTGATAATGGGTTTGTTTGTGCTAATTTATTTATCCTGTGCAGCCATTGTTGAAGAGCGAGAGCGGCGAGGTTAATGCGCTGACGAGGATGTGAACAAATGTGTGTCGTAGGCGTCAAAAAGCACAAAAACAAAAACAAGAAATGCTTTGAGTGGTTTTAGAGATAGAAAACACTTGGCTCTTTGCCGTTCGTGAAAGCTGGAGTAGCAAACATTCTGAGGGTTTCTTCATGAATTTGGGTCTAACAGAAGAAGAGACTGACGTAAAACATATTTGTGTTACTTCAGAGGTTTAGAGGTCTTCAGAGTCCCTGTGCTGGGACTATGAGGAGCACAGGGACTGGCCTCCTGCTGGGACTCTGAGGAGCACAGGGACTGGCCTCCTGCGGGGGACTCTGAGGAGCACAGGGACTGGCCTCCTGCTGGGACTCTGAGGAGCACAGGGACTGGCCTCCTGCTGGGACTCTGAGGAGCACAGGGACTGGCCTCCTGCTGGGACTCTGAGGAGCACAGGGACTGGCCTCCTGCTGGGACTCTGAGGAGCACAGGGACTGGCCTCCTGCTGGGACTCTGAGGAGCACAGGGACTGGCCTCCTGCTGGGACTATGAGGAGCACAGGGACTGGCCTCCTGCTGGGACTCTGAGGAGCACAGGGACTGGCCTCCTGCTGGGACTCTGAGGAGCACAGGGACTGGCCTCCTGCTGGGACTCTGAGGAGCACAGGGACTGGCCTCCTGCTGGGACTCTGAGGAGCACAGGGACTGGCCTCCTGCTGGGACTCTGAGGAGCACAGGGACTGGCCTCCTGCTGGGACATAGGGTCAGAACTAAAACATGAGGAGGCAGCGGATATTAGGATAGATGGATGGATAGATAGATAGATATTAGGATGATGGATGGATGGATGGACAGATGGATGGATGGATGGATGGATGGATGGATGGATGGATGGATGGATGGATGGATGGATGGATAGATGGATGGATGGATGGATGGATGGATGGATGGATGGATGGATAGATGGACAGTCGGATGGATGCAGCGTTTCAGATTCCTGCAGCTCCTGTAGGATCTGGAACAATCTTCCTGACAATATGAGACCGGCTTATTCTCTGACAATGTGCACATCCAGGTTAAAATCAGGTCTATTTGGCTGTGACTAAAACTGAGGGATCTTACCCAGACTAAGACTACAGCAAACTTAAGAAAAGACCTTTATCAGTGAGAACAGGACTTGGTGAACTGGACAGAAGTTGAAGTTTCATGAGAAAAGACAGTATTCTACACAATTAAATCAGTTTTTCTCCATAAAATGCAAATTCCTCTGTGGACGATGCAAACGACGTCCGTATTAATTTGTTATCTGCGTCCTGGCCTTGTCTTATCAATCCGTAAACGCTGCTCAATTATCATTTTCTGGTTCCTGTGTCTGCAATTACATCGGTTGAATCCTATTCGACCAATCAGAGAACTTGGGAGGCGGGTGTTGTAGGTAGATGTGGGTGACGACCAGAGTTTGCGCCGAATTTGCTAATTATAGTTTGGCAATGGCGGCAAATATAACAGTAAAGTAATCCATTCTGGTTCAGCTCCAACTATCAAAAAATTGAAGCCGGAGCAAGAGGAATGTTTAGCAAATCTCAGTGCTGGGAAAGATAATGGCGCTACTCCCCACGGGCTCCGTTAGCAGCAAAGAAGATGGGTAAAGCTAGGCTAAATACTGCATGCTAGCAACTCTCTCGGGTGCGTTACATACCGTACGTGACGGTAAACTCAGATCCAATCGTTTCAATCTGCAAAAGGAGTTAACCCCTACCACCTGTTAACGGAGCGCATTGGGGCAAATCCAGACCTTAGTATGAAATGAGTACTATGGTGTGGTACGACCAGGCTAATTGCATACAGGAAGAGAATCTTTTTTGGCAGCACCGAACATAGCTCAACTCAGACCAACTCATTCTACATTTTGTCTTCCCGAAAGATCCAAAACACAAGACTTCGGAGGCCGTCTGAACTTAACCAAACTTATCCGCCAATAAAAGAACCGTTAGCTCCTTGGAGACGAGCTTGACATTTTGCTTGCGAAAGTGGGTCATACACTTACTACACACACTACACACACACACACACACACACACACACACACACACACACACACACAAAAACTGTTCCGGAGAGATTCATTCCCAGATCGGAGCGAGATTCAGTGAGCTGAGCACGGACACAGACCTCTCGCTCTCCGTGGGGTTCCTCTGGGCCGCCGCTGTGAAACTGTGGGTGAGAATGGTCCACGTGCCCAGCTCATGGCCCACAATAGATTTGCTCTTTTGGGATGAGCTAAAGTTAGTGTTTTTCCAAGTTCAAAAGGCGGGTTTTCATTTCAATTCAAAAGAAACGGACTCAATAACCTAAAAAGGGCTCGATCGTCCCGACAGAAGAGACTGGATATAACAGGTTATGACTCGCCTCCTTCTTACCTCCTTCTCGCCTCCTCCTCGCCTCCTTCTCGCCTCCTCCTCGCCTCCTCCTCGCCTCGTCCTCGCCTCTTCCTCGCCTCGTCCTCGCCTCCTCCTCGCCTCCTCCTCGCCTCCGCCTCGACTCCTCCTCGCCTCGTCCTCGCCTCCTCCTCGCCTCCTCCTCGCCTCGTCCTCGCCTCCTCCTCGCCTCGTCCTCGCCTCCTCCTCGCCTCCTCCTCGCCTCCTCCTCGCCTCCTCCTCGCCTCGTCCTCGCCTCCTTCTCACCTCCTCCTCGCCTCCTTCTCGCCTCGTCCTCGCCTCCTCCTCGCCTCCTCCTCGCCTCCTTCTCGCCTCCTCCTCGCCTCCTCCTCGCCTCGTCCTCGCCTCCTTCTCACCTCCTCCTCGCCTCCTTCTCGCCTCGTCCTCGCCTCCTCCTCGCCTCCTCCTCGCCTCGTCCTCGCCTCCTCCTCGCCTCCTCCTCGCCTCCTCCTCGCCTCCTCCTCGCCTCGTCCTCGCCTCCTTCTCACCTCCTCCTCGCCTCCTTCTCGCCTCGTCCTCGCCTCCTCCTCGCCTCCTCCTCGCCTCCTTCTCGCCTCGTCCTCGCCTCCTCTTCGCCTCCTTCTCGCTTCCCCCTCGCCTCCTCCTCGCCTCCTTCTCGCCTCCTCTTCGCCTCCTTCTCGCTTCCTTCTCGCTTCCTCCTCGCCTCCTTCTCGCCTCCTCCTCGCCTGCCTGCCTCTGCATCAGCCCTTATAAAAGGCCCTTACAGTGTGTCGGAGCAACAGTTGTGTGATTTATGCCCCGGTGGAAGCCATCCCTCTGCAGACTCTATTGGACTATGAATGTCAGTTCCAAGCCACGCCAGCCTCCATCCATCACCGCAAAACAATCTGACAAAAGTCCAGCCGCAGGTTCTGCTCTGCCTACCGCGAAATCCAACTTGGCCCAGCTTGAAACTACGTCCAGCCACGGAACAAATCACCGGGCAGGAGGTCTGAAGCAACTCATACAGAGGAAAAAGGCAGGGCCAGATTATGTGTACAGTGCAGTTCGTACACAAGATTGTCAGGGTCATGGAGAAATAAAGAAAAAGAGAGCGTGTATTAAAGGCCGTTTACAGTCTTCTGGGAAAGATTCAAGGCCTTGTTTATTTATTTAAATAAATATTGAGGATTCTTTATATCTACAATGTATGTTGATGTACATGCAAAACCGCATGATTTATGAATTAATTTGCATCCACACATAACCGAACATCTGCGTTTTCAATGACATCCATAAAATTCCAAACATGTGCTTCCTCTGACGTCCTGCGTTGGTTAAAAACACAGAAGTGGGCGGAGCTTTGATGCAGACGCCGATACTTCTGTAGCGGCACATACAGTCGTAGAAGAAACTCAGGGTGAAGACATGTTATTATAGATCCATGCTGAAGACATATGTTTACAAGCACTGACCCCAGTCCTCAGTCCTGGTTTTGTCCTGGTTTTGTCCTGGTTTAGTCCTGGTTTAGCTCCTGTTTTGGTTGTTTCGAGCGTGAGTCCGTGATCACTTTGCTGCTCTCTGATGTGGACCACTTACCTGAACTTACCTTGATAGAATCTGAACAACTCTCCTTGAAAGGGACACTGTGGTTCGAATTCTGTTTTTGTTGTATATGTGTGAGTGTGTCTGACTATAATATTCTCATTTATTATTATTATTATTATACAAACTCATGATCATATCTAACCAAATATATATAACAACATTAATACATATTGTTTTCAGAAAAGCTGTTAACTGTGTATGTGTTTTATTCTCACTCCTGGGCTCCTTAGCGTTCCTTCCTCTGATGCCTACCCTACGGCGATCAGACCCTTAGCCCCGTAGTGCGTTACATTTTGCAGAGATGAGAGCATTGTCCCGGCTCTGAAGGAGAAAGGTTAACATACTTTTCAATATAAGCTGCACTTTTAATGGTGCCATATGAACCAGCCCGGAGGCAACTCTGAGGAGCACGGGAAAAGCCTCTTGCTCGTTCCAAGAGCCAGGACTAAACGTGGGGAGGCAGCGTTTCAGTTTTATGCTGCTCAAATCTGGAACAATCTTCCTGAAGATGTGAGACTGGCATCTACTCTGGCAGTTTTAAAATCCAGGTTAAAAAGGAGAAGGATTTTATATTTACTCATATTAGTAAATTGTGGCTATTGTGTTTTTTTATGTATATGTAGATTTCAATGTTTATGATTTGCTGGATATGATGTGGGTTGTGAGGTGCTTTGTGTTGCCTTCTGTAGGAAAGGCGCTCTACAAATAAGGATTGATTGATTGATTAATACACATTTTATTTCAAGAAGACGTCCCGCTTATATCGACTCAATCTTCTTCAAATCTATTATTATTCAAAACTTCTTGCAGAGACAGTCGCAAGGTGAGGACAAAAGGACAAAATGCAAGAGTAAAAGATTTAACAAACAGCTCAAAAATATAGACAATCCTGGAGATAACAACACAACATTCTGGGGAGAAACACAATGGGCTGACGACAAGAGAGTGGTGCAACCAATGGATTCACCAACACAGATTAGCAAACACACAGAACCATCGGTCCAGAAGGGGCCGGTATCATCAGTATCATCGTCACTGTCCTTAGACCCTCCCGCTATCCGCAACACACCGGACAAGTCGAGTGTTATGGCCGAATTTAGAATGATCTGAGGCAAACAAGTGTGTTCATGTGATTTATTAAAGTAATCAAATACATACAGTACATGATAATAGCCTGGTCGTAGCACACCATAGTACAATATATATATTTGATACTAAGGTCTGGAGGTGCTGCATTGAGCTCCGTGAACAGGTGGGAGGGGTTGACTTCATTTACATAAACGATTGGATCTGAGTTTACCGTGACGTATGTAATGAGCCCGAGTGAGTTGTTAGCATTTAGCATTTAGCCTAGCTTTAGCCATCTCCTTTGCCGCTAACGGAGCCCGTGAGGAGTAGCGCCACAATCTTTGCAGCAATTACATTTGCTAAACATTCCTCTTGCTCCTGCTTCAATGTCTTGACAGAACCAGACCGGATTACTTTACTATCGCATTTTTCGCCAAACTCTTGACATCACCCACATCTAACTACAACACCCGCCTCCCGTGCTCTCTGATTGGTCGGTCGAAATTCAACCGATTGTATTTGCTAACCCAGGGACCAGACCCAGACGTTACATGCAGTGAAATGATGATTGAGATAAGACCAGGCTACCAGGATAATTGCATAAAGTTAATGCAACGAGGAGGACGCCAATCTCTTTCGTCCCTGTGCTCCTCAGAATCCCAGCCAGAGGCCCAGTCCCTCTGCTCCTCAGAGTCCCAGTAGGAGGCTGTCATCCCTGTGCTCCTCAGAGACTTATAACAAACCAAGCTATATTTCATACATAAACCAACTACAACGTTTCCGAACTGTCAGAACTGTGAGTGACAGGGTTCCCCAGAAGTAGGTCGGCCTCATTCACACCACGCTCACCCCTCCACCTCCTGCAGCTCCACCTCCTGCAGCTCCACCTCCTGCCGCCCCAGCTCCTGCCGCGCCGGGACAGACTCTGAGAACTGAAAGTGTTCCCGGCATATCAGAATAGGGGTCAGGTCCACCTCTGGCTCGATGTGGAGACCCGTGGGTTGCTCGATGCGTATCCATGTTTTATCTCGTACAGTGACATATGTATAGAAAAGTCCAAACCATTCTTTACAACACATGTGATGGATGTGTTTGAAGCATTCACTGTTTATACTGGAACATTTTAACCCAATACCAACTCAATTAAAGTAGTAATATGTAAAATCTTCATGTCAGGTCTTCATTAACGGGCCCTAATATGTCAAAAATCATTAATCAAACTGCTCTTTTCCAATACTTCTTTATCTGATAACAGTAGTTCGGAAATATTCCAATTTCAAAATTAGTTTTCCAGCCCCTAAATCTTGTTATTTTGTTTTTATTTCAATGTCCCGCCTTCCAAGTTTCACCAATCAGAAAGTCTGTGATCAAGGGTTTCCAAAACTCACAAAATCAAGCTAATCTCGCAGGTAAAGTAACATGTGGCCGCAGAACTACAGTAAATAGGTACAAAAAGTTAAAGTAAAAAAATGTCTATCTTTGTGAAAAAGGTGTTGGTTATAGATTTGTTGTTAAATAAACTCTTTGTCTGCATATCTGGCAACCTGAGTCAGGGAGAGTGAGAGAGCTTGCAGTACCGATTTTAGCCAGATTAGTGAAGTTTTGCTCTAACTTGCTCTGGCTCCTGTTTGACTTATATTTTAATGTAAAGTTAAAATTTTAGAACAGGTTAAATTATATGTTTGTTTTCCCGAGAAATTATTAATTATAAGTATAATAATCAATGCTACAAGTTACAGTAATAATAACAATTGAAAATCTTTTAAGGGGCCACTTAAAGCTGCACTAACCGACTTTATTGTTGTATTCATTACTAAAGTGCTATCCATGTCCACGCAGTGCTTTGGGATAAACGTCCTTTTGAAGAAAAAGTGGCGCAGATTTGTGCTGCCGTGACATTAAATTTTAGATCGAGTTTTGTCGAGATGTGTTTCGGGCAGGAGGCCAGTCCCTGTGCTCCCTCAGAGTCCCAGCATGAGGCCGGTCCCTGTGCTCCTCAAAGTCCCAGCAGGAGGCCGGTCCCTGTCCTCCTCAGAGTCACAGCATGAGGCCAGTCCCTGTGCTCCTCAGAGTCCCAGCATGAGGCCAGTTCCTGTGCTCCTCAGAGTCCCAGCATGAGGCCAGTCCCTGTGCTTCTCAGAGTCCGAGCAGGAGGCCAGTCCCTGTGCTCCTCAGAGTCCCAGCAGGAGGCCAGTCCCTGTGCTCCTCAGAGTCACAGCATGAGGCCGGTCCCTGTGCTCCTCAGAGTCACAGCATGAGGCCAGTCCCTGTGCTCCTCAGAGTCACAGCATGAGGCCGGTCCCTGTGCTCCTCAGAGTCACAGCAGGAGGCCAGTCCCTGTGCTCCTCAGAGTCCCAGCAGGAGGCCAGTCCCTGTGCTCCTCAGAGTCACAGCATGAGGCCGGTCCCTGTGCTCCTCAGAGTCACAGCATGAGGCCAGTCCCTGTGCTCCTCAGAGTCCCAGCATGAGGCCAGTCCCTGTGCTTCTCAGAGTCCGAGCAGGAGGCCAGTCCCTGTGCTTCTCAGAGTCCCAGTAGGAGGCCAGTCCCTGTGCTCCTCAGAGTCACAGCATGAGGCCAGTCCCTGTGCTCCTTAGAGTCCCAGCAGGAGGCCAGTCCCTGTGCTCCTCAGAGTCACAGCATGAGGCCGGTCCCTGTGCTCCTCAGAGTCACAGCAGGAGGCCAGTCCCTGTGCTCCTCAGAGTCCCAGTTGGTTAAAATGGCTCTAACATGTCTCAGGTGTATTCTGGTTGGTTTGAGTTCTTGTGATTCTCGGTACCTCTGTGCCTAAAAGAAAAAAAAGTTGATAGAATTTAATGAACAGGAATTGTGTCAACAGTTGATGTATAACACACACACATAGAAAATAAAATCGATTCACTCAGAAATCCAGTGTTGCTCCGAGGAAGAGAACTGCACAAACACAGATTTTTTCTGGCTTTTTTACTGTGTGAGCAATTTCTCAGCCCCGGCTTTGTGAAATATCAACAATCGAGACCTTTGAGAAGTAATCAGGCCGATCTGAGGAAGGGAAGAGTCAGCCCCACAAGCACTGTGTGTGTGTGTGTGTGTCTGTGTGTGCGTCTGTGCATGTGTGTGAGTGTGCGTATGTGCGTGTGTGAGTGTGTGCGTGTGTGTACGTCTGTGCTTATGTATGCATGTGTGTGTGTACGTCTGTGCTTATGTATGCGTGTGTGTGTGTGCGTCTGTGCTTGTGTGTGCTTATGTATGCGTGTGTGTGTGTCTGTGTGTGCGTCCGCGCATGTGTGTGTGTCTGTGTGTGTGTCTGTGTGTGAGTGTGTGTTTGCGTGCGTCTGTGTGTGTGTTGGCAGCAAACTTTTGGTTCCCTCGGTTTTTCAGTAAATACTGTAAATCCAGTGTTTTCGACCAAATCCTGGATTCATTTTGGGAAACACCAATCGGAATCCCCCGGGTCTTCTTGGGAAACTGCAATTGGAATCACAAATGCTTCTTTTTTTCTCCTCAGTGCAGTCAAAGCAAGACAGAAAAGTGTCCAGCGATAAAATTACAGCATTTACCGACAAAGGCGACAAGCAAGACACAATGTGAGTAATAATAATCTTTAACGACAAAAACGTAATTTCCTTTTGTTTCCCACACGTTGAAAGAGTGTGTCTTCTGAAACAACAAAGGATAATAATCTTCATTTCGCCGTGAGCTCAGTTCAATAACAGCATGTTATATGTGTTTGTACTGGATCATGTTGTAACCGCTGTGTGTAAATGTGCCACACTATCATTATATAAAGTCCCAGCTTTGACTGTGTTTATTTAACTGAAAATAGCTCCAATGGAATAGATCAACTCTTCTTTAAGGGGGTTGTTGAGTGGATGGCTGACATGCTCTACAAAACAATACAATACAATACAATACAATACAATACAATACAATACAATACAATACAATACAATACAATACAATACAATACAATACAATACAATACAATACAATACAATACAATACAATACAAAACAATAGACATTTTGCAAATATTTTTCTTTTGACCACTGTGAAGAGGTTATTTGTGCCAGGGATAGGATTAAAGTCATAATACTGATTATTTGTGTGGTCTGTTTGTATGTTTTAAATTGGAACTGTTTGAATTGAAAAAGGATCAGGTAGAATTGCAGAGTTACACATACAGTACAGACCAGAAGTTTGGACACCCTTTCTCATTCAAAGACTTTCCTTTCTTTTCATGCCTATTGACTGTAGACCTGCACCAGGCTGTGAAAGGGCTGTTTGACCAATAAGGAGAGTGATGGTGCTGGGCCACATGACCTCCACAGTCACCGGACCTGAACCCAGTCCAGATGGTTTTGGACCTGAACCCAGTCCAGATGGTTTTGGACCTGAGCCCAGTCCAGATGGTTTTGGACCTGAGCCCAGTCCAGATGGTTTTGGGGCTGGACCACAGAGTGAAGGGCATCATGGGAACTCCTTCAAGACTGTTGGAGACCATTTCAGGTCCTCTTGAAGCTCATCCAGAGAATGCCAAGAGTGAAGCAGTATCAGAGCAAAAAGAGCTACTTTGAAGAACCAGAACAGACATATTTTCAGTTGTTTCATACTTTTTTAGTACGTTCATAATTTAAGAGTTAATTCATAGTTTTGAAGGTAAAAAAAAACTCTTTGAATGAGAAGGTGTGTCCAAACTTTTTGTCTGTACTGTACATCACACACACATACAGTACACACACATACAGTACACACACATACAGTACTCACACATACAGTACACACACATACAGTACACACAGATAGAGTACACACACATACAGTACACACACATACAGTACACACACATACAGTACTCACACATACAGTACACACACATATAGTACACACACATACAGTACTCACACATACAGTACACACACATATGGTACACACACATACAGTACACACACATATGGTACACACACATACAGTACACACACATATGGTAGCTCCCAGCCCGTCCTCCGCAGCTGGGACAAGACCAGGATAGTGATGGCTTTGTGACTGTTCGGAGAGGGCGACGTGTTGTTGGTAGTTTCCCCATTGGGCCTCCTCCTGTTAGCATTTACAATCGCTGGGACGCTCTGTCCGGCTGCGCCCCCGCGCGGCCGGGCGGGGAAGAAGGCCCCACTGAGAGAGCCGCTGAGAGAGCTGCTGAGAGAGCCGATGGAGTCGCTTATGCGCTGGTAATTGGCTCCTCTATTGTTAGAGGTGTTAAGATCCCAGGAGCCACTGTTCGGTGCTTCCCTGGGGCCAGGCTTGGTGATATTGAAGGGAATCTGAGGCTCATGATGACCCACAAGCAGCGTTTCCGTCGAATTGTTATTCACGCGGGTGGTAATGACGTTCGGCGGAAACAGTCCGAGGTGTTGAAGCTGCAAGTCGCCGCCGTGTGCAAGCTGGCTAGCACAATGGCCGACACTGTCATCTTCTCTGGGCCCCTACCTAGCACTAGCAGTGCAGAAGCATTCAGCAGACACTCGGCTTTCAACCGCTGGCTGTCTGGCTGGTGCCCTCGAAGTGGTGTTGTTCATGTTGACAATTGGAGTGCCTTTTGGGGAAAGCCCGGTCTCATCCGCTCGGATGATATCCACCCAACGTTGGCGGGTACATCCCTTTTGGCTAAGAATTTGGCCCTGGCTCTAAACTGTTCTGCTCGGCTCAAATGACGATGCAGAACTGAGGCCCGGGTGCAGAGCTGCTCTGCCACAACCTCTGAGCCCCCATCTGTTCAGTTACTAGCCTCAGAAGCTAGTCAGATTTAAACTGTGTGTGTTCCCCGCTTGAAGTCTAAAGCACTATATGTGAGGAAATCTGACCTAGGTGTCAGACACAGTAACTTAATAAAAGTTCAGACAGACAGAAATAGTTCTAGCGGTAGGGTTGTTAAATGTGGTTTAATGAACGTCAGATCAATCTCGTCTAAATCGCTTCTCATAAACGAACTTATTATAGACAAGGGCTTGGATCTGTTTGCGCTCTCGGAGACTTGGCTCCAACAGGACGACTACGTTAGATTGAATGAGTGCACTCCTCCGACGCATGTTAACTACCAGAAAG